AACAAAGAGTCCGGGTGACGCGCATGTGGGGGTGGGGTTTCCCCCGGGCCCCAATTCCGCAGGAGTGGGAATCGGGGCTTGAAAGTGGGGGGAATCCGCCCCCCGGGGGCATTTGGCAGTCCTAATGTAATCTTGAAATGTGGCTCTTCAAACAGACTGAAACCAAAGTAAGCACAAGTCTCCACTGCCAATTTCGAGCAGAATTTTTCACACTCTTTGTAAAGGATGATCCAAGGGCCAGACTAGGAGTGGCTTGTTGCCCAGCAGTCAGGTCTAGGCCCTTTCTCCGCTCTCCTTCTAATCCGTGTTCACCATGGTGTCCTCCAAGCAATTCTGCACTAAAATCGAATTCAACCTTTTTAAACCAGGTTTTTTCCCCATTCTGTACTAAATAAGGTTGCCAAGTCACTTACTTGGCACAGCGGGGGAGAGTTGGTCCCTGCCCGGGATATTCTTGTGCACGCGAACCTGGTAGTGACGTCATCATGTTGGGGATGTTGCCAGCCGACGCTCTAGTAATCGGCCTGGAAACTCTGTGGTACCATAGAGTTTCCAGGCCGATTGCTAGAGCATTGGTCGGCAACGTGCCCAACATGATGACGTCACTTCTGACTGACGTCATCACGTCAGCCCGAACTGGGTACTTTTGGGGTGGGGTTCTCCCCGCCGGCCTGATCCGGACCGGTGGGGTTGGGGGCCCTTTGGGCGGGCAATCCCCTCCCCCTCCCGGGGGACCTGGCAGCCCTAGTACTAAAATCGAGTTCAACCTTCTTTTTATTCCAGGTTCCCCCCCCCTTCTGCATTACATTCCCTCCCTTCTGTGGTCAGCCTGGTTTCAGCCTGCTGTTGCCCCAGAGTTATTTCAGTGCTGTTTTGCCCTGGACTTAAATTGCCTCGACTCGAACACTGAGAAAACCCGGAGTGGCTGGCAAATGTGGAAAGGAGCCTAGATGACTGTGGTGTGGTGTGGTGGGTGAGGGAGGGGCTTCACCCTTCCTCCCACACCCGTCTTCTGATCCAGAATGGCCCCGGAAGGGCTCTATTTGCACTACTGGTACCGTACCCGCCCCGTGGACAAATAGTACCAACAGGGCCATTTTCTTGTCTGGAAAACAGTGCAATAGAGGGCGATTCACCCTTCCTCCCACACCCGTCTTCTGATCCAGAATGGCCCCGGAAGGGCTCTATTTGCACTACTGGTACCGTACCCGCCCCGTGGACAAATAGTACCAACAGGGCCATTTTCTTGTCTGGAAAACAGTGCAATAGAGGGCGATTCCGCATTTGGCATTCACTCCACATTTTCTCAATACTGAGGGAAAGATGCAGCTCAAAACCGCAGTCAAATACCCCGGGGCAACACCGTACTGACTGCAAAGTCACCCCTGAACGCAGAAGGTACCATAAAACCCGATGATCAAAGAAAGTGAAAGCGGCATGCAGTGTAGAGGGCACCATAAAATCTGATGGTCAAAGAAAGTGAAAGTAGCATGCAATGCAGTGGGGAATATCTGTTCCAAGGTGGGTTTGGTAAAACACCGGAGGGAAAAGCCAATGCAGAATTGCCCATAGTTCCAATCTGACTTCAGCCCCTGTGGCATATTCAAACATAGTTCCCAGCAGCTGCTGACTAACAGTGAGTGATTTCCCACAAGCGCTGCTCCGCGCTCACTCCTCCCTTTTGCCCCGATGGTATGTGTCAATTTCACACAAGCTGCTGCGCGGCTGCATTTTGCCCCGCAGCTTCGTGCGATTTCCCCCGCATCTACTCAATCCTGTTTTTTGAGGACTGAGTAGACGCGGGGAAAATCGCACGAAGCTGCGGGGCAAAATGCAGCCGCGCAGCAGCTTGTGTGAAATTGACACGTACCATCGGGCCAAAGAGAAGAGTGAGTGTGGAGCAGCACTTGTGGGAAATCACCCAGTATGAGAGTTGAGTTGGGGGACTCCAGACCCGAATTCCGGAAAAATGTGATGTCTAGATTGGCCCAGAAATTCCTCTCAGAACTGAGATTCCCTTCAGTGTCAGATGTCAGCTAGCTAACCTCCAGCTTTGTGTTGAATCCTGAATATATTTAATGATCAAGTAGTAGAGCAAATCACTAGGCATTGTTGCTACTTAATTGATAGTTCATTGCAGGGGCCCCCAAGGTGGTGTCCATGGGTGATATATCACCTGCCAACACCTTTCCGGGTGCCCACCAAGTGTTCTTAGAAAGTGGGTGGGACCAGGGGGAGACTTTGCCAAAGAAAGCTTCCGATTGGCCATTGGAGATTCGATTGTGCAGGTTTTTTAAAATGTCACTTTGGCAGCAGCTGCCTCCACAGCCTAAGGATCCTCACTGTGTGGCCAAAGGTAAGCTATAGCAGCCATTTTTTTTGGTGGCTGGTTCCACCTCAGGTGGCAGCCATTTTGTGACAACCGTTTTGTGGCCGTGCCCACCGCATAGTGTCAGAATTCCAAAGGTACCCACAGGCTCAAAAATGCTGGGGACCCTGGCTCATTGGGTAGAATCCACATTTTGTAGGTAGTAGGTATTGGGTTCAGTTCCTTGGCACCTTCTGTTCAAGATCTCACCTTGTCTTTTGTCACACACACCCCAGAGAGCCAACGGTAGTCTGGATGGAGCTGGGCAGATCAGAGATAATCCCTTTACATGTTTGTCCATTTCATTTTAAGCACCATTTTAAAAGTATCGCAGCAATTGGTTGGCTGAATGACTGGCATCTTCTTCAGCTATTTTAATGTGTGTTCATAAGGAAGCAAATCTAGCTGCCAGTGTAACTGATACCGCATTTAAGTTGCTTCAGGATTTTAAAAATTGTCTACAGAGTATGGAAAGAGGCAAACTTGGAATGATCAACTGAGGTTTGAATTGACCATTAAGGCAGCGCGGGGGGGGGGGGAGTACCTTTGTATAGCAGGTGGGAATGGATAAAGATTGTAGCAGACAGAACTGAGTTTAATGTAAAGCCAGTAAATGAACTGAAACTTCATGCTGAAGAGCATTTTTGGTTGCAATCCAAAAAATACAACAAATCAAAAGGCTAGTTTACACATCGCTTGGTGTTGTTTTTTACACTTGATAAATAGTCGTCAAAGGTAGGAATCGATTGCATTGTGTCTGAGGTGAATATGCTTCTGTCTAGTATAAGATATCTTTGACTTTTCCCATGTGCAAGTTATTACTTGATGGTGCAGTCCTCAAGTGATAAGCATGGCAGGGAACCTTCGAGAAGATCCTTCCATTTGATTTATGACGCTTATGTACAATAATTAAACTATACCGAGTGAGAAGGAGCAGCCACCTTTTTCTCTGTTCCAGCTGCATTCCTCAGTCCATTGCCTTGAGACCCTACTATCAGCTGGGTTTGTCCTTCTCATGGGGAAACGGCAAGTTTCCTGGGACGTAGTCCAATACTTTGGCTAACTCACGCCAGAGCCCTTTCCTACAACTAAATATGTTCTGTGCCGTTCATTTCTGTAAACCTCGCACTCTTTTCCTAGGAACAGACTATATGGAAGCCAGACCTTCTCTCCGTAACGGCTCAGGAGCCGCCATCTTCCAGGTGGGGAACCAACGGAAATGGGGGAGCTGACTATTACGACACCAGCAGGCCATGGGGAGGGGAAAGAGAGCAGCAGAAGAAGGGAGAAGGAGAAGAAAGGAAGAGTCTCCAGGAGGAGCGGAGACTCCAGGAAGAAGCAGCCTTGCGGGTGCAGGAAGAGAGGAAACTCCAGGAAGTGGAGCACGAGGAGGGACATAATGGGCGGGACACCATCTGCTACGCCGAGGAGCCAAAGCACCAGGAAGAAGCGCAACGGGAACCGCAGGTGGTGGAACAAGTCAGGGAAGTTCCAGCGCAGAGGCCCCAATATCAAAGGTCTGCACTACATGTTTATTTTCTGCTTTTGGGTCACATTCCAGTGATACTTCAGATTATGGAATCTCAAAGAAATAACCTTTTTTTCATGACTGAAATCTCTTTATCGACTTGGAGCTCTCCTTCCTGTCTGGAAGGCGACAGTTGTATACAGATGACGAGTAAGCAGAGTGGCTTGAAGAGCATAATAATGTAAGATGAGCCCTGCTGGACCAGACCGGTGGTCCGTCTAGTCCAGCATCCTGGCTCACACGGTGGCTAAACAGTTCTTCTGGATGACCAATAACAGGGCATAGAGGCCGAGGCCTTCCCCTGAGGTTGCCTCCTGGCTCTGGGATCCAGAGGCTTAGTGCCTCTGAATGTGGAGGTTCTCCTCAGTCACCAAGGCTAGTAGCCATCGATAGACTTCTCCATGAATCTATCTAATTGATTCCTGTGGCCATTACTGCATCCCCTGGCAGTGAATGCCACATTTTAAGAATGATCCTCTCTTAAATGCTGCACTTATTTATATAGATTGATTTAGAAGTTGTCATGCAAATAGTCCCAGAGGTATGTACTGTTTGCCTACCAGGGCCTTTGGTGCTGGTGAGTAGCCATTATACATGTTAGAGAAAATTAACATGCCATATAAGAATCTCCCACTGTTACTGTTAACTGTTCTTGCCTTTTTGGAAAGCAAAGTTTTTAAAGGGGGGGGGGATAAATGAGAGTAAATTCTGAAATCCCTTTGCTGCCTGTATTTACACACTTCACTGCTTATTCCAGGAATATTATTCTCCATGTCAGCTAAACCGTGCTTCTCGATTGCACCATCTAGAATCCACAAAATGTGCCAGCTTCCAGATAGTCAAGTCCAGAGACCACTGTTCCCTCTAAGCTGAGTTAGTGTGAGCCGGCTCACGGTTTTTTAGCCTCCGGCTCACACATTTTTGTCTTCGCTCAGGAAGGATGGCTCCAGGGCAAACTAACTTATGCTGTAGCCAATGTTCCCTCTAAGCTGAGGTAGTGTGAGCCAGCTCACAGTTTTTTAGCCTCCGGCTCACACATTTTTGTCTTCGCTCAGGAAGGGATGGCTCCAGAGCAAACTAATTTCTGCAGTAGCCAAATCACTTGCTCTTTACTGACAACTTTAATGCCAGTAGCTCACAAAGTAGAATTTTTGCTCACAACACTCCACAGCTTAGAAGGCACATTGCCAGAGACCCATTTTCACTTGGGTTGTTGCTGTACCAAATTGTGGTTAGATACAGGAGCTGCAGTGGCTCAAGTGGTTAAGACGCTGAACTGCAGGCTGTGGAAGGTCAGTAGTTCAGCAGTTCGAGACCCGAGGGTGCCGCAAGATGGCGTGAGCTCCCGTCTCTAGTTCCAGCTCCTGCCAACCTAGAAGTTAGAAAGCAAGAAATTGCAAGTAGATAAATAGGTACCACTTCGGTGGGAAGGTAACAGCATTCCGTGCACCTTGGTGTTTAGTCATGCCGGCCACATGACCACGGAAACGTCTTCGGACAGCGCTGGCTCTTCGGCTTTGAAACGGAGATGAGCACCGTAACCCTAGAGTCGGATTCGACTGGCTTTCGAGCAAGGGAACCTTTACCTTTTTACAGTTTACCTGCAGCCTGTAAATGCTAAAAACTTGGCATTGGGCATTGCCACTGATCATTAACGCTGCTGTAGTAAATCATACAACAGAGAACAGGTCTGACATCCTGCTCTGTCATTATCGTCTCCGACAGCTTCCTGCTTCTGGGATGCAAATCTGCTTCTGCCAGAATTTCTTGCTCAAAATGTGGGGGGGGGGGGGGGGGGGCGATTGTTCATGCTACTATCTCTTCCTGTGCTACCAGCCAAATGGGTCCTGCATATTCATTGAAATGTGTGTATTCATTTACTTTAGACATTATGATTCATCGAGAAATTCTGAGCACCTGGGCAGCTTCAGTGCTGATAAGTAAGTATGCTGCCAAGTATTAAGGGGTGTGTGTGGGGGATTCAGTGAGTTTGCTAATTTAGGATGCGAAAGTAGGGAATCATGCATGATCTCTCACCGTTTGGAATGGTCACTTGTTCAATTTTTCTTTAATTGGTTATTTGTATAATCGTGTCTCTGCATGGCGAATGATAGTTGAGGGGAATGAAGCGTTTGCTGGTGGTTGGACTTTCTGTAAGGCTGTGGTGGCTCAGTGGTTAAGACGCTGAACTGCGGACTGGAAGGTCGGCAGTTCGAGACCCGAGTGTGCCGCATGACGGAGTGAGCTCCCGTCTCTGGTCCCAGCTCCTGCCAACCTAGCAGTTCGAAAGCAAGAAACTGCAAGTAGATAAATAGATACCGCTTCAGTGGGAAGGTAACAGCGTTCCATGCACCTCAGCGTCTAGTCATGCCAGCCACATGACCACAGAAACGTCTTCGGACAGCGCTGGCTCTTCGGCTTGGAAACGGAGCTGAGCACCACCCCCTAGAGTCAGATTCGACGGGCTTTCGAGCAAGGGAAACCTTTGCCTTTACCTTTTTACCTTAGGTGGCAGTTCACCAATTGCCCATTGGCCACTTGATTACTCTGACAGCAGTGTATGGTTTGCATTTGCTGAGTAAACCACCAGATGGGACACCAGTTCAGTGATCACATGAATCTATAAGGCAGTGTCCTGGGCTCACGTGTGTGTACTGAGTGAGACCACTGGTCTGTTCAGGTCAGCATTGTCTTCTCCAGCAGTTCCCAGCGCCCCAGATAAAACATTTATCTGTGAGTCCAGAAGTACCAGGAAGTTAAGTTGTGTATACGCCCATGTGAACCAAGCCTTGGTCATTGCGAAGGCAGTGGCAAACATTTATATTACAGGGGTGAAATTCTTCTTTCCTATCTATTGTGTTCCAGCCAGGTTTTGGACAGTTTTTGTTGCTTCCAAAGGGATGGTCTCTTAGTAACAGACTTCAAAACTGGCACTCAGGTCTGCCATTCTGGAGGTGGGGGGGAGGGGCAGGTATAGTACAAAACCCACCAAATCCAGATGTTCTTTTTATTGTGAGGAGTGGCTTGCTAAGGTGGCAGCTGCCCTTCGGTCTCATCTAAAGGTGCAAAGTTTGGCGTTTCACTCCCCAAAAGGGACAGTTCTAAACTGCAGTTTAACCAAGATTTGGGATTCTGGCCCCGGGGTGGGGTGGGGGAGCAAACTCCAGTTCACCAAAGGACCGACACTCAGACGTCATGGCAAGCTGCAGCTTAATCAGACCCAGAAGTTCCCAGTCGAGCTACATGTATATCCAACGAGGTCGGATGAAGGAGAGGGCCCGTGAGCATAGCAACCAACATTCTGCTCAGCTCAGTCACAGTTTGTTTATACCTTGCCATGTTGTCTGAATGAGGCAAGTCTAGGAGGACACTCTGCATAAACCGCCCATGTTTCCTTGTCGGAACCCTTGGGTCAGGTTAACTTAATATGCTTACCCCTGCCTTCTAACGGCCAGTATTTCACTTTGCCTGTGTCCATAATGTGTTTGTACTACTTCCCCCAGGCCTTCTTTTGGTAGGCCTCCTTTATCTGCAAATGCATCTGGCTTCACTTGGATGCTGATTGACCTTAGAAGAGTCCATGAGTCACAGCTGGCTTTCACCAAATGTATCTGAAGAAGTGTGCGGGCACATGAAAGCTTATGCCTTAAATAAAACTTCGTTGGTCTTAAAAGGTGCCCACTGGACTCAAACTCTTTCTGAAGAAGTGTGCTTGCGCACGAACGTTCATGCCTTGAATAAAACTTTGTTGGTCTTAAAGGTGCCCCTGGATTCAAACTCTATCTGAAGAAGTGTGCTTGTGCACAAAAGTTTATGCCTTGAATGAAACTTCATTGGTCTTAAAAGGTTCCACTGGACTCAAACTCTATCTGAAGCAGTGTGCTTGCGCATGAACGTTTATGCCTTGAATAAAACTTTGTTGGTCTTAAAGGTGCCACTGGACTCAAACTCTATCTGAAGAAGTGTGCTTGCGCACGAAAGTTTATGCCTTGAATAAAACTGTGTTGGTCTTAAAAGGTGCCCCTGGACTCAAACTCTGTCTGAAGAAGTGTGCTTGCGCACGAAAGTTTATACCTTGAATAACACTTTGTTGGTCTTAAAGGTGCCACTGGACTCAAACTTTGTTCTGCTGCTTCAGGCCAACACGGCTACCCCACCTGAATCGTTCACCAAATGTGCCACCGATCTTTACTTTGACCTGTTATTTCTGTTGCACCCTGTTGCGTCGATGTAATTTTCTCCTCTCCTGTGCTGTATCTCTGTAACGTATCTTCCATTGTTTCTAGGAGCAAATCCAGGTCAACTCCCAGTCTAGATGACCATCATGCCAACAGGAATGGTGAGTGCCTTATGTGATTGAATCTAAAGAGAAACGGTGGAGATGAAAGGAGGCTGTTGGTTCCATTTCAGGAACAATCCAGACAACTTGGATTATTTTGCCTGTTGATGGAGTATTTTGGGACAACGGGTCGCTGTGTCAGCCCTGAACACACCTGCAGGTGGATGACAGCTCTGTATTCTAGCCTGTGTTGTCCTTCTCGAACATTAGACTTGTTCTTTTTGCTAGGGAGACTAGATTATGAGTCACAGCCAGCCTGACGCCAGTGTTCTTCTCCCCGATGAGCCATATTTGCATTTTCTACAAACAAGGCACGTTCCACCTTTCCATCAGCACTCTGTCACAAACGGTTACTAATCCTGCAATGCGTAGATGACAGTGTGACTTGTTATTTAGTTCACTTTCTGGGTTTTCCTTCCCAGTCCTTCTCTCCACCTAACCTTGTCTACCTGGCCGTGTATCTCTGTTTGGTTTTTTTTTACGTTTTATTTCCTTTTCAAACTAGGCGTGAAGAGCAAATACTCGGAGCAGGCCTGGCATACTGGAGACTCCCAGAAGAGACCCCAGAGAGAGCCGGGCCTGTCCCCGGCAGAACAGGAAAGGCAGCAGATCCTCCAGGAGATGAGAAAGAAGACCCCTCTGCACACAGACAGCAGCTGGATTAGGCAGCGGAGTTCCAGCATGCACAAAGAGCCCATTAGCCTACCTGGCAGTAAAATGAGGAGGTAACGGCACACATCAGAAAGCCATTTGCGTTCTTTGCCAGTTTCAGCTTTACGATACTCTGCCATTATGGAACTCTGATTCCTGTGCAGGGCAGGGCAAGGATTTCCATTAATTCGAGGTACCAAGATAGAGAGATCGCATTCCAGTTTTTCATGTCGGGAAAACAAATGCTTTCCCTTACACTAATTGTCGCAGGTTCACTTATAAACCAGAGCCAGAGAGCCAGTTTGGTGTAGTTCCTGTGCAGGGCAGGGCAAGAATTTCCGTTAATTCGGGGTACCAAAATAGAGAGATCGCATTCCAGTTTTTCATGTCGGGAAAACAAATGCTTTTCCTTAAACTAATTGTCACAGTCCACTTACAAACCAATGTTTCCCTGGCTCATATACTCACTGATGCACCCAGTAAAGCAAATTGTGGCTGCTTCTTACACTAGCGTCTGTTGGAACCTAAGAAGAGCCCTGCTGGATCAGACCGATAGTCTATCCAGTCCACCATCCTGGCTCACACAGTGGCCAGCCAGTTCCTCTGGGCGGCCAACAACAAGGCATAGAAGCAGAGGCCTTCCCCTGGTGTTGCCGCCTGGCTCTGGGATTCTGGCATCAAAAGAGCTATTTCGTGCATACACAGTGGCTCGGGCATGGCGACTGAGGTTCTCTTGCTATCCTGGAACCACAGGACCTGCGTTGATTCCAAAACTCTCCTCTGGTTTTCAAGTTGCCGCCAAACATCTTGGAAAGCTGCCGTGGAAGAGAAACAAATCTAAGGCTTTCTTGGACAATGTAGGGCTAGTGACTCCGTTGTTCCAACCTTGTGTGTCTATGTGTGTGTGTGAGGGAGCGAGCTAGTGAGCAAGCAAACCAGTTCTGTATTTGAGTGATTATCTAAGGAGAGACCTTGTCTATCATTTCCGTTCTTTGCCAGTTTCAGCTTTAAGATACTCTGCCATTATGGAATTCTGATTCCTGTGCAGGGCAGGGCAAGAATTTCCGTTAATTCGGGGTACCAAAATAGAGAGATCGCATTCCAGTTTTTCATGTCGGGAAAACAAATGCTTTTCCTTAAACTAATTGTCACAGTCCACTTACAAACCAATGTTTCCCTGGCTCATATACTCACTGATGCACCCAGTAAAGCAAATTGTGGCTGCTTCTTACACTAGCGTCTGTTGGAACCTAAGAAGAGCCCTGCTGGATCAGACCGATAGTCTATCCAGTCCACCATCCTGGCTCACACAGTGGCCAGCCAGTTCCTCTGGACGGCCAACAACAAGGCATAGAAGCCGAGGCCTTCCCCTGGTGTTGCCGCCTGGCTCTGGGATTCTGGCATCAAAAGAGCTATTTTGAACATACACAGTGGGCTCGGGCATGGCGACTGAGGTTCTCTTGCTATCCTGGAACCACAGGACCTGCATTGATTCCAAAACTCTCCTCTGGTTTTCAAGTTGCCGCCAAACATCTTGGAAAGCTGCCGTGAAAGAGAAACAAATCCAAGGCTTTCTTGGACAATGTAGGGCTAGTCACTCCGTTGTTCCAACCTTGTGTGTCTGTGTGTGTGAGAGAGAGGGAACGAGCTAGTGAGCAAGCAAACCAGTTCTGTATTTGAGTGATTATCTAAGGAGAGACCTTGTCTATTGTGTGATATTTGTATATCACAATGAGCTTGTTGTGTGATATTCGTATATCACAATGAACCAGGACCAATGGGAGTTTGTTTCCCCCCTCAATGCAGGATTTTAAGCTGGGAATCAAACCATGGTTTAGGATCCCAGGTTGGGGAGAGGAGGCCAACTGCAGTTTGCCCAGGTGACTGCACTCGGATGTTGCAGCAAATTAGAGTTTGATCGAAAGCTTCCTGATTAGGGAGCTTTCAGTTGTACTCTTCATCGAAGGGTAGGAGATCTATGATCATGACAAATAAACTGTGTTCATACCTGCTGGCAACACGGGTTTGTGGTGATGACTGAATGGGGCCTTGGTGGATTTAGAACATGGTCTTTGAGCATGCTTGTGGGAACCTGGATCGTGTGTTCCATGCTCTGTTTTCCTGCTGGATGTCTTGGACTCTGACATTATATAATGACTTTGGCTGGAAAGGGAATGTGATAAAACTGATTTTATTGCTTACAAGATTTTTGTAGGTATTAAAGTTAGGATGGATTCACACGATATTTTTATCCCATGGCAAGACAGTTTTTAAAATCAGCTGACTTGAAAGAGACAGAGCCTTGGATTAATTGTTGTCACCTTATCATTAAAAAAAATTATGTTAAGCTGCAGGCAGCCATGAGTATAGCAGACTTTTCTTCCTTTACTTCTTTGGGGGAGTGGGAGAAGGTTTTGGAACTCTGCATTCCTTCTCATGGTAGAATGTAACCATACTAGGAGATCCCATGTTTAAATAAATCTGGAATTACTGTGTACGTGTTAGGGGAGGAGAGAAGCAAACAGAGGGGCAAATGCCATCCCAAAACCTACTCCCCGTCCCACGATGTACAAAAGTGCAGGTGGGGAGAGGGGAGGGGTATTGTCCAAGGAGACCATTTCATAAGGCCCACTCTTTCAAATATTTTTTAAAATATATCCAGAGCGGGAAACAATCCCGAGAAGCAGTGGGGCCTTTGGATGACAAAGGAATAAATGGATTGCTAAAGGAAGACCGGGGGATGGCAGGGAAGATCAATGACGTTTTTGCTTCTGTATTCACTGTGGAAAGTGTGGGGCATGTACCCATGCCACAGCCCTTACTTTCAAGAAGGGAGTCTTAAGAACTGAGCCAAATAGAGGTGACCAGAGATGAAATTCTTGACCTAATGGGGAAATTAAAAACCAATAAGTCTCCAGGTCCTCATGGCATGCATCCAAGAGTTCTTAAGGAACTCAGATGCAAGATAGTTGATCTACTAACCTGTTTAGTAGATTAAATTCAGCCACTATACCAGAAGACTGGAGAGTAGCAAATGTGACACCAGTTTTTAAAAAGGGCTTGAGAGGGGAACCAGGAAATTACAGGCCAGTCAGCATAACATCTGTCCAAGGCAAATTAGCAGAATCGGTAAAAGAAATAGAATTGTTAGGCATATAGAGGGACAAAGCCTGCTGAGGGAAAATCAGCATGGCTTCTGCAAAGGGAAGTCCTTCCTCACCAACCTTTTGGAGTTCCTTGAGAAAGTGAACAAGTATGTAGACAATCGTGACCCGATAGACATTATATACGTGGACTTTCAAAAGGCTTTTGACAAGGTATGTCACCAAAGACTTCTGGGTAAACTTAGCAGTCATGGGTTAAGGGGATGATTAAGAGAGTTGACAGAGAACTTTTTCATCCTCTTCCGAAATACTAGAATTCGAGGGCATCCAATGAAGCTGTTGAGCAGTAGGTTCAGGGCAGACAAAAAGAAATACTACATTACACAGAGAGTGATTAAAATGTGGAATTCACCGCCAGAGGATGTAGTGATAGCCACAGGAATCAACAGCTCGAAAAGGGGATTAGATAGATTCATGGAGGATGAGTATCAGTGGCTACAAGCCATGGTGACGGAGGGGAACCTCCACATTCAGAGGCACTAATCCTCTGAATCCCAGAGTCGGGAGGCAACATCAGGGGAAGGCCTCGGCCTCTATGCCCTGTTGGCCCTCCAGAGGAACTGGTTGGCCACTGTGTGAGATAGGATGCTGGAGTAGATGGACCATTGGTCTGATCCAGCAGGGATCTTCTTAAAGGCTGGTGTCTGAAAGTCTCTTCATGTTCAGACAACTGTGTGAACCTTTGTCATTTTCTATGGCATAGCCATGGGGAAACTATTAAAAGGATTTTATTTTGTTATTTCTTTCATAGCAATTGTCGATACAGCATTTCAGTCTAAGGAAAACGATGTGGTGTCCTCCTGTACACAAACAATGTGTATGTAAATGTTTGTTCCACTAAGAAGTCTAAAGCACCCATGCAGCTTTTTCCCCCTCCCATCATTCATCGAGTTGTTTTGTTATCGAAGGACATAACTGTTGGGAGGGCTCTGTGCAAACGAGATAAGCGTCCCTATTGTGCTGACCCTACAGCCTTGGTTCCCAGGGGTCAAGGAAGCTGGCAGCCATTGAGCCCCATTGATTACAATGGCACTCTGGTGAGCCACAACAATGCGACAGATTTTTCTTGGAACTGGAGCTTTCCTAGGCATGCCTTTGATTGTATTGCCTTTGGCTCATCAGAGTAACTGGAGTAAACCGTTCATAAAGCCACAGGGGCAAGTGGTATCCATCTGTAATTTTTTCTTTTTTCTTTTTTGAAATTCAAATTTTTAAAATATTTTTTGTCATAAAACATAACAAGATATAACGATTTGAGTAACATCAAGAAAATATAGTACAATGATTATCTACATAATACCTGTGGAATCAGCATATTCTAGAACAGAATTATACCTCTTACCAGTTTCTATATCACAGAAGTCTCACCTATTTCAAAAGTACAGTAAGTGTTTGAGGTGGTCATTCTTGGGGATGATTTCACCTTCTGCAAGATATTTTTTCGCATTCTCTTGTGTTTGTTGGTAAGTCATTTTCCCATAGGTAAAGTGTTCCCATAGTTTGTTTTGCCAGTCGGATATGCTTGGGATGTTTTCATCTGTAATCTTTTCGTTCCAGAGGTGAGAGTTTAGATAACCTGGATTCTTCAAGGACACATTCCTGGAGGCCTTCTTCTTGGATGAATCAGTCTGCGTCCTCAGCATCTTTGTCATCTAGTCAAGAATTCAGCCACCACACGCCTCCGGTGGTGTCCACTTCGAACCGTGCCTACATGCGCGCTCCCTCTTCCAGCCTGCCCTCGTCTTCAGACAGTCCTGTGAAAGCTTCATCCTTGCCCCACATTCCCCCCTCTGCATCATCTCCTGTTCCCCACGCCCAGTCACCAACCTCGCCTTCCCAGACTGGAACCCAGCAGCGCAGCAGGTAGGTTGTTTACCAACTGAATACTTAACAAACAAACGAAAAGTGAAATGCTGGCAATCTTGTATGGCTTGCACATAATCGCACCAAGTACTTCCGCTCATTCTGGGGGGGGAAGGATGTTTCGCTACTCTGGTGCACTGTGCCCTCTTCCAATCCCAGTTGGACATACCATATTATTTCTGAAGGTCCCCAACTTTGGGGAATAATCATTTTGGAGGTCCTGCAGCAGGAAAGTGGATAGAGTCCTGTTCCACTCAGAATTAATTGGATCTAACCCAAGGTTTACCCAAGCTTTGTCAAAAAGGGTTGGATCCATAAAGGAGTAGTGTTGGGGTTTTTTACCCTGCTTTTCTCTATTCTGCGGAGTCTCAAAGTGGCTTACAATCACCGAAGAAGTAGTGTTGGGGTTTTTTTACCCCGCTTTTCTCTATTCTGCGGAGCCTCAAAGTGGCTTACAATCACCTTCTCTTCCTCACCCGACAACACTCACCTTGTGAGGTAGTGGGACTGAGAGAGTTCTGAGAGAACCATGACTGGCCCAGCAGGCTCCATGAGTGGGGAATCCAATCCGGTTTCCCAGATTAGAGGCCAGGGCTCTTATCCACTACAACCCACTGGCTCTCACTACATGCAATTTGTGGTTGACTCCCCCTTCAACGTTTTTGGAAGTATTGGATCCAACCCCTAACTTCTTAAATCTGTTCATTGTGAAAATCACTCATTCTTAAAACATCTCATTTCGGCACATTTAAATATATTGACGGGGTCTTTAAAACTTTTTAAAATACCATTTTATTATCACCATAGTCTTCATTCATGTTTGTCTTGCCATCCACTCCAGAATGTCAGAAATCATCACAAAGCTATCGACTTGAAGAATATGCGTTAGTCTTTAACTGAATCACGGCACACGGCAGAGGGCAGTTTCTTCTTGTGCTGTTTCATTCATTTCTGTGCCAACAGGGGAGTGAAATTCCCTTCTTCAATGGGCATTTAATTGTAAACATTCGTGCACCCAGGAGGAAACTAGCAGAACATTATGTGCCCATCTCTCCTTGTCCCGCATTGTTAGAACACTTTGATCAATCATTACGTTGTGGTTCCTTGTGCAAACAGGTTGCTTCATTGGCAGAGCATCGAAATGCTCTTGAAAATGAATACTTGCTCTTGCTTCTTCTTGATCTGCATTTCGGTTCTTTTGGTTTGAGAGGGAGCTGTATTTGCCCAGTCAGACACTGCAGAAAGTCCTACTTAGCACTACCTAGGAAACAGGGGGGAGGAGGCATTCCCAGTTGCTGAAATCATCACAGTCATTGTTTGGTGACCAACAGCATGATGTGTGAATCAGGCTGTCGTCTTATGTACAGAACTTTCCTACTGCAGAGCAATGCTCCCTCTAAGCTGTGGGGTCTTGTGAGCAAAAAGTCCCACTTTGTGAGCTACTGGAATTAAAGTTGTGAGCAAGCGATTTGGCTACTGCATAAATTAGTTTGCTCTGGAGCCATCCCTTCCTGAGCAAAGTCAAAACTATGTGAGCCCGAGGCTAAAAAACTGTGAGCCGGCTCACACTAACTCAGCTTAGAGGGAACACTGCTGCTGAGTAATTTCTTTTATGTATCTCTGCTTCATGTGGTCCGGAAAGATTAGGCAGAGCCACTCTCCGAAATAGATCAAGATGAGTAGCTGTGTTAGTCTGTCCATAGCAGTAGAAAAGAAGAAGAAGAAGAAGAAGAAGAGAAGAGATTGGATTTATATCCCGCCCTTCACTTGGAGTCTCGGAGCGGCTTACAAACTCCTTTCCCTTCCCCTCCCCACAACAGACGCTGAGTGGGTGGGGCTGAGAGAGCTCTGACACAAACTGCTCTTTTTCAAGGACAGCTGTGCCAGAGCTTGTGACTGACCCAAGGTCACATCAGCAGGTGCAAGTGGAGGAGTGGGGAATCAAACTTGGTTCTCCCAGATTAGAGTCCGCACACTTAACCACTACCCCAAACTGGAGTCCAGTAGCACATTAAAGATTAACAAAATTTGTGGCAGGATATGAGCTTTTAGGGGTATGCATTCGGTATTTACCAAGCAGAATAAATACCCCAAAAATAACTTATTAGTGCAGATTGGCTTTGGTGCGGGGAAGATCCTAGGGTTGGTCCAATGTGCAAAAGGGGGGGAGTGTGTCGGACAGCTCTCCTGCAAGCTAGAGGTGCCAAACTGGCAGCGGACCTTCCTGTATCCAGAAGGTCCCTATAAATGCCAAGCTGAAAAATTCGGCAATCACGGTTATTTCCCAAACCCCAATATCATACCAATATTGGGATTCAGGAATAACAGGAAATATCTATGTTTGTGTGTGTTCACCCCTAGCCATGACTCACGAAGGCTCACACCCTGCCACAAATTTTGTTAGTCTTTAAGGTGCTACTGGACTCTTTCTCTTTTCTACTCTCCGAAATGCAATCTTAAAACTTTTTTTCATAAGCCAGAAATGAGCTGAGAATGTAATTTAAAAGTAGGCTACTGTAAGACATGGGGCTTTTTCCCAAAGATGGTTCAGAAACGCCATTGGTGCAACAGTGTGGCTTCGGTGGATTCCAGCTTACAACACTGATTTTTGAAACTTCAGCATTGGCTACCAATTTGCTTTTGGGTCCACTTCAAGGTGTTGGCCTTAACCTTTGCAGCCATAAGTGGAGTAGGTTCTGATTATGTCAGGAAATGAACATAAGAACATCCATGCTGGATCAGACCAGTGGTCTGTGTAGTCCAGCATCCTGTCTTACACAGTGGCCAACCAGTTCCTCTGGAGGGCCAGCAACAGGGCATAGAGGCCGAGGCCTTCCCCTGGTGTTGTACTCTGGCTCTGGGGTTTCAGAGGTTTACTGCTTCTGAATATAGAGATTCCCTTTAGTCAGCATGGCTAGTAGTCACTGTGTCTAATCCCTCTTAATACCAGAAGAAATGCTTCCTCCTGTATATGAAACTGCTCCACAACTGAGATCTTCCAGTGAGGCCCTGTTAAAGGAATAATCTTCCATGTGGTTTTGATTAGCCTCCATGAGAAACAGGGCCTTTTTTGCAGTGCCTCCAGAATTTTTGGATACTATTCCGATGACCTCACCACGGTTGTCATTCTGAAGTCAGATTTCTGTTTTGTGTTGTCTCTGGTTGCTTCCCCCCCCCCCCCCCCCCCATGTATCATGTGACGGCTGTTCATATTTTTTTTAATTTTTGTTTTGTTTATATACAGATGTTATTTGTTTAATTAGAACTTGATTTACAGAGTAGTTTGATGGTTCTAGATGTGTGCTTATGTTGAAAGGGGGCATTTAAATATTTGAAATAATAATAATAATAATCTGGGGGCTTAAATCTACTTTTGCTTAATTTTAGTCAATGCTTTGCATTGGAGCTCAAGAGTTCATTGGAAGCGGATGTTTGCATTGAATTGCCAGACTGGCGAAGTTGGCAGGGTTTCATTCTAGGATGTTAACACTCAGATTTCTTCCAGGCATTCCTGACTTTCGGGTTATTACTCACTCTGCCCCCAGCAGTTTCTTCTGAGAGCTCTTTCTCTTGTCCCCTTTTAAGCCTGTTTCTCAGCCGCCTTCTCGTTCTGCATCTAGGTCGGTCAGTGGAAAGCGTGTGTGTTCATACTGTAAGAATGTTCTGGGCAAAGGAGCGGCCATGATCATCGAGTCGCTTGGCCTTTGTTATCATTTGCATTGTTTTAAGGTGAGAGCCGGGCAAAACACCTGGGAAGTGCAGGAGCTTTTAAACTCACTGGTCGCATGGCAGCTTACTTACAGGGTGGCGGTATTCAGCCGTATGCTACATGGTGCAGCAATCCAGTTAGCTCCCTTAGTAGGGTTGCCAAGTCGGTCGTTGCGCTGCAGCGGGGGAATCCCAGCCGGCGTCTCCAAACCATAGAGTTTTCCCTCGGATGACCATGGCCCCGCCCCCAGCGTGCCCGGCGTCGTCACGTCACTTCCGGGTGATGTGCACGTCGGGGTGGGGCTCCCCCGGGGCCCGATCCGCCGCCGGCATGGAACGGGCCTCTGGGGCGGGGTTTTCTCCACCCCCCAGGGGGACTTGGCAAGCCTATCCCTTAGAGACAGAGGTTCAAAAGATTAATGACGTCCATTTATTCTCAGTGGCCTCGTGCCATCGAGAAGAGATCCAAATGACCATTTGTTACCTGTCAAGCACTTCAGCTTTCAGTGCGATTAGGGAGGCTGAAACGTGGCTAATCTCCCCACCCCTGCTTTTTATCCCAGAGGTTTGCTTTGAGCTCTTGCCTAATTCCCCATACTGTGAGTTTATCAGGTGACATCGCTTATCGGTTATACTCCAGGACTTTCCCCTAATTTCTGTGGTGATGACCACAGAGACTAGAGGCCCAACTCAAAATGCCAGCGTTGGTTTGAAGTTTTGTCTGCCACAAGGACACACGGCCTTTTCTTCAGTGGCACCCATCTACCATCTTTGAATTTCAGGCCTGCTCATTTATGACCACAGGAAGTTGAGCACCATTTTGTTCAGCAATCATATGGATTATTTTTTTTAGAAAAAAAACTTATTTTGCTGTGGTTTTGTTAGGACGTTATGTGGCTTCCATGGCTTTGTAACTGTATTGCTTATTCATTGGGTTTTTTTTTTTAATCAACGTAATTGGTCTGTATTGTAAGCCCCCTGGAGGACAAGATACAGATTTAAATAAATGTCTGTTTAAAGGCGCATTCTCACAGTTCCAGAACAGCAGTATCCACATCCTAATTGCATGTGGTTTAATTCAGTGTGCTATCACAGTGTGCTGTTCACACCAATTAAACCGTCATCAAGCCCTTTGTGTAATATTTGGGAGAGTAGAAAGCGTTTTGCTCTGTTTATTTGGAGAGGAAACCTCTCTGGAAGTGGGCTTGCTGTTTGCCCTCTGGCAGTGGGCAGTTCTCCCTCAGTAATAGGAGAAGTGGGAGGGAAAAAATGGTGGGGGGAAAGGCATAGATGGTGATGCTCTAGGAATTTCCTCTAGTCTCTGTGGTCTTCACCACAGAAATTTGGGGGAAGTCCTAGAGTATAACCGATAAGCGATGTCACTGCCTTCTGTAAACCCCATTCCCCAGTAGTGCCCTTAAAATCTTAGGGCATTTGCCAGAACCCTATCCACAGGACTGAAGAAACTTGGCTTTTCCCTAAAGTCATGAGCACTCTCCATCTTAATGCTAATAGAAGGCTTCTTAACATTGTAGAGCATAAGGTGTCCCTACCTATCTGAAGAACAGAAAGCCTGTATTCTGTGAACTTGCATAGCAATTCCCACAATTAAAGGTTAAACTAAGGAAGTCAAGGGATGATGAATGGGACAAATGTTGAACTAAAATCAGATTTATTTATTTATTAAATTAGGGGAGGGTGTTTTTTTTACCGCCCTTCCCTGCTTGTGCAGGGCTCGGGGTGGTTCAGAACAATTTGGTTTGTTAACAATGTAAAACAAGTTAAAACCATAAAAACACAACATTTAAAACATTCAGAGATATTTAAACGTTTTAAAAACAAGATGGCAGTGCTAGCATTCAACTGGGAGGGGAGGGCGCCAGGCAGATGTAAAGAACCGTCAGTGGCCTCAACCAAAGGCCTGGCAGAACATCTCAGCCTTACATGCCCTGCGAAACCTTAATAGATCAGACAGGGCATGGATGTCACTTGGAAGAGAGTTCCACCAGGCCGGGGCCAGGGCAGAAAAGGCCCTGACCCTGGTCGAGGCCAGCCAGATAACTTTTGGGTCGGGGATCGCCAGAAGGTTCTTATCCGCTGATCTTGATGCCCTTAATATTGTTGTGAGCCCACCTGCATGCTGCCCATCAGAAGTGCTTGGTGCCAAAACTGTCTGCCTCTGATTCTCTTGTGCCATATAATCACCGTGTCAGAGAGAAGAAAGACTTGGATCATCTAACCTCACTCATTCCACTTTTTTATGTTTTAGATCGTGCCATTTTTTGCGGGGTTGCTTGTAACACACTTTAGAATCTCTGCTGGCTTAGCTGCCTATTAACAGTACTAACTACTGCTCTTGCCCAAGTGGGTGAATAGTTCAAGGGTCTCCTTCAGATAAACATTGCTTATTTGTGTACTCACTAATTGTTTTTCTCTTTCTCTGCACAGTGCGTTGCTTGTGAGTGTGACCTTGGGGGGTCTCAGACGGGAACCGAAGTCCGCATCCGAAACAATGAGCTCTTCTGCAACGACTGCTATCTCAGATTTAAAAGTAAGGCGTTCCTTCCTGAATAAATGAATCACAATTATGTTTTTTTTGCTTATGAGCAACTGGTTCGGTTCCGGTTCCTGTTTTTTGTATCAGAAGCTTTTGAGAGTGCCACACCCAGATGGATGAAGGGCGGTGGGGAGGTTTCCATTGTGATGTGGGGGCTTCGTGGGTCGGCCGCTGGGATTCTGAACGGATTCTTCATCCTTGGACTTGTGGCGCCACTTTTCAGAACGTAAACACTGAAGAACACAATCTGCAGAAACTACAACAGCAGCAGTCAGGAGCACTGAACGTATCAGACGTTCAATGTATTTTTTTTAAATTACGACTTGTAATGAGTATGGCCCGTGATACATTAAAGTACCCCCCCCCACTTCACGCTGAAAACTATTAGAAACCTGATTTGACAAAAATCTTATGCTGATGGTTGGTTGAATAAAGTTTGAGTTATGTTACATTGGTTGGTTATGTGAAACGACTCATCTCCTCCCCCCCCCCCCCAGGAATAGGGGATTTCTTTTTATCCACAGTTGGGAGCAGAACTATTCTGCCTTAAAAACTAACTTTCATTGTCAGCGGGGTTCTTATGCACCTTTTCAGTTTTGTGGATTCATTGGGACTGTTTTACTTAGGCCCCGTTCACATAGGGAATTTGCCGCGGGAGAGCCACGATTGGATGGCGGATTTTCCGGGCGCGATCACACCACAACATCTGGCAAGTGGAGCGCACCCGTGGCCAACCCATGGCATGCCGCCGATAATGAGCGATAAAAAAATACCTCCTCGAAGGTAGTAGCAAACGGTTTGCCACGGCTGCCTCCGGACTCCCTTGGTGTGATCGTGCCGGCACGGCTTTTCCCTCCGGCCGTCTTTGTTGCCACATACACACCAAGGGCCGGAACCGTGGGTTGCCTCCGCGGTGTCTGATTGCATTATTGCGCGGCTAACTACAGCGCCGCAAATAGCCACGCCCCCCCCCCCCCGCGTGTTCCAGCCTGTGTGACCGGGGCCCTAGAAACACAAATAATGCCTATTCTTGCTTCTTAATTTTGTTTTTCCATGCTAATGCTTGGAAGGAAATTCCTCCAGAGGGAATTGGATTGGATGTTAAATGGCAACGTGTAGCATAAGTGTTGTGAGTCTGCTCTGGTTTAATATGACAAACTCATTTCTTGTCCTGCATCATGTATATAGGGTGTACCAGCATGGCTGCTCATGTGCTATCTTTTCTAGTGGGGGGGGGGAGGAAGTGTGAATGTCTGCCCTTTTAAGTTTAGTAACCATGTAGTTCAGTAAGGGAACACTCGTTTTCTGTTCGCCAGGTTCTGGATTCAAGTCCTGCACTTCCACTCAAGAGAACTGAAAATAGTAGATGGTTTTCGTTCCGGTACTAAACCAGTCATTTGCACACCAGAATTGCAAAGCAGTTGTGTATTGTGATGCTGGTTAAGAATTTTTAGCAACAGTGTGGGAAGACCTTTTTAACTTAGTTCCGGAATAATTGTGAAGGTCTGACCCCTCTGTCTTCAGTGGCTTTTGAATTATTGCTTCGTGACTTGGATATTGGGTTTGTCTGTGGTATTTTAAGGCTTGATTTTTCTGAGAAATAGCCATAGGTGTGTTGCTCTTTGCTCTGGATGTAGGCATTAGGTAGCCACTTAATTTTATGGAGAAGGATTGGCTTTGATAGATGGAAGGCCTTCAGCTAAATACACAGTCTAGGTCCCTTTTAAGAGTGGCTTATGCAATGTTGAGGAGCTGACTTTAATGCTTTATAAGCAGGAAGTTAATTGTTGATTGACCATGTAGGACCTCTTTTTTGAATTTTAATCATTTTAATTAAATAAATATAAAACAATTGATAACAGAGAATCCCAAACAATACGAACTGTTTAACATTAATAATATTCTCGATATTCTATTCAGTATATCTAAAACTTAACTAATTAAAACTCTTAACATGTTTTCTAATAATACAGTTGGGTTAGCAACCATCTTGTATAAATGTAAGAATCTAAGTTCAACTGGCTAATATTTATTGATCAAAATTAAAATATACTCTAAATCTGGGGTTTATAGAATAAACACTTCAGGTGAAACGAAATAATCTGGAATAATTCCATTCCATGCCGTGTAATTTATGACCGGAAACCATTTCTCAACAAAAGTTGATAGATAGTTTTTATGTTCAAGTTGTAACAGCCTATTTGTGATTTTTTTTCTAAAATATAGCAGTCCCGTATCTTAGACATCCATAACGAAACTGAAGGTGCCTATTTGTTCTTCCACTTTGAAGCTATCGCTGTCTTTGTGGCAGTTAATAATGTGACAATCAAAGTCTTTCGTATTTGTGGAATTGGAATATCTTCCCATAGATTAAGCAGTATTAGCTCAGGTCGTAAAGGGATTGAATACCCTGTTATTAATAGGATCGATTTCAATACCTTTTCCCAAAATTCAGCAATATAATCACACCTCTTTGATCTGGCTCCCCCCCCCTTGTTTCAGTAGCCGAACACATAACAGTGACAACTTCATTAGGACCGGATCTTCTTGGTGCCACGTAAGAGTTCCTACGGTAGAGTGATTGGTACCAGGCAACCAATTAGTTTGTTTTCTGGCTAGTGAAGGGCCCACCCTCTCACTTTGCTAAGGACTGACATATGGGCACCATCCCCATATGGACATATGAACACCATCCCACAATTCAATTTGATTTATTACGATCAAAGATCAACAAATGTCATATATAGTTGACAGCAACAATACAGCCAGACAAATTTTTGGTAAATAAGATAGAGTGAATTTATTTACACCACTGATGTAGTTTATGTTGAATCTGCAGTTTCTTGATTTTCTTATTTCCAAGAACCTTATGTTAAACCTCTTGCATTATTATGTTAACCCTCAGATCTATGGCTTGTGTGGATTAATTGCTTCACTCAGCCTCTCCTCCTACTAGGATTCACCTAGTAAAGGTATAGGATTCCCTTGCTCAAAAGCCAGTCGAGTCCGACTCTAGGGTTGCGGTGCTCATCTCCATTTCCAAACCGAAGAGCCAGCGCTGTCCAAAGACGTTTCCGTGGTCATGTGGCTGGCATGACTAGACACCGAGGCACACGGAACGCTGTTACCTTCTCACCAAAGTGGTATTTATTTATCTACTTGCAATTTCTTGCTTTCGGACTGCTAGGTTGGCAGGAGCTGGGGCCAGAGACGGGAGCTCCCTCCGTCACGCGGCACCTGGGTCTCGAACTGCTGAACTACCGACCTTCTGGTCGGCAGTTCAGCATCTTAACCACTTGAGCCACTGTTAGGTAACTAACAGCATCCTTTTCTTTGCGGTGGGGTGTTTGCGGCACCCGGGTCTCGAACTGCCGAACTACCGACCTTCCGGTTGGCAGTTCAGCATCTTAACCACTTGAGCCACCACAACCCCTAGGATTCACCTAGGACGCTCTAATTTTAGGGGATCGAGACTGTTCTTTATGTCAGCTTTGAGCCTCTCTGGGTAATGTTGTGGGAATTGGAACTTTGGAGGCTAACAATGAGAAACAAGGAAATCGTTTGCGTTGTGAAGGAAGCTATTCAGGCCAACACCCTCTTTATATTTGCATGCTAGGGTTGCCAGTCTCCAGGATCGACCTGGAGACCGCCCAGTGTCACTACCGATCTCCAGACTGCTTTGGAGAGTGTGGTCTATGGCATTCGGCCCACTGAGGTCCCTCCCCATCCCAAATTTTGCCCTCCCCAGGCTCTACCCCCCCTCCCCAAATCTCCAAGAATGTCTCAACCTGGAGCTGCCAACCGAGCAATTTTGGCAATCAACAATGATCCGGGACAGTCTGCTGCCTACTCTGTTAATCTGTCGTCACTGCTGCCCTTTGCTTGTCTTTCAACGAGGCTTCGAGGCCCAGGCAGTAGCTAATCTGGTGTGGTTTCCACCGCAACTGGCATTAGTCCCAGGTTAATTTTTTTTTTTTTGAGACCTCATAGAACTGTTGCATGCATAGGAGAAAGCCGCTGTTTCCAGAGCTCCCTCTGTTGGCCACATGAAATCATAACTGCGTTCGAAAAACACACTTTTCCAGTCCGTTACGAGGTCTTGATGTCTGAAAGGCAAGGTGAACTCCTCCAGAATCTTTATTACATGGTTGTTGGTTTTTCCCCTCTTAAAAATCTTTTGGGAATTCGCTTTAAGTAGAATTCAGCAAATATTCACTGTTTAACAGTTGTCTGTATTCGAGCGGCCACACACTTTAAATTAAATCTTTTTTCTGTGTCTCCCCCCCCCCCATTGTTCCTCAACAGCTGGACAGCCAACCATTATGTGATAGAAACCTGAATATGAAAACACTTCTACAGATAACGGAGGAAGCTGCTGCTGTAGATCTATAAATATATATATTGTGTGTGGTTTTTTAAAATATATATATATATATTTTTGCCTGCCTAGATTATGTAGGAAATGCATTGTATCCGTTTAACATTTAGTTATTTATAAGAAAGTAATCACAGTAAAACTCTTCTGAGCAAAACACACAGTCCATTTAATATACACTCTCATTCCTATACACACAAGTGAGAAATCTACACCTGGTAGTCTGTGCATCAGAATGTTGGAGGTGAATATCAAATAGCTTTAATTTTTTTCAATTATGTATGAAGAGGCTATTTTGGGGGTTTTGTAAAATGCTCTTTAATGAGCATTGTTGAAATAATAATAGATTTGTAACTGCAATTTCTATTTTTGATGTATATTCTTCAGGGTTCTGCAGAATTATTATGAAATTGCGTTTCAAGGCACACAGTGGTGGTTGCTGTCTGTATTTCCGTTTCTATGCCTAAGTCATATTATACTTTTAAAGACTAAAATATAAAACTTCAGTCTGCTTGCTCGGGGATCAGTATTTCCTTGTGCTTGAACAGTTAAATGCAGTTTGGGGGGAATTGTAAGGGTTTTTTCCCCCCCCTTTTCAGGTTTGAAAAATGGGATTCCACATGCACCTCAGACAAGTAAATAAGACTGAAGAATTGTTTTCCTCCTCTTGACTTATTTTGTATTTGTAAATAAAGTTGCTGAAGCTGCACTGAAATGGATGTTTTGTATTTTTAACTTCTTTCCAAGGGAAGAACATCTACCGGGAGATGCTATTTGACGTGGTTACAATTTCGTTTTGTTAAAACAGTTCTTGGCTTAAGGCACCACCGCTTCTGTACATTTATCACAGGGTATTTTAAGGGTAAATAAGAGAGCTAAGTTTTGATTGCATACCTCTAAGTAAGTTTTAAATAAATACAAACTTGTTATAACAGGCAATCTGGCTTGGAAATCTGTGGATCATATTCTTCCTTTTTCGTATACTGTTAATCTTTTTAAAATCTAGACTGTTGGAAGTTTGGGTTGCGAAATTGCTTCAGCAAAGACAGGGACCACGATCAGGGTCATTTCCTGCAAGAGCGCACAGGAGCGGAGCTCCGGCAGTAAACAGCCCAGAGGGTGGGCACATGCAACAAGCCCCACCCCCTGCTCCCAGCAGCCCTCAGGCAGAGCAAGAAGCAGCCAGGTAAGTTCCAGAGCCCCCCCCCCCCGTCCACAACAGTCCAGTGGCACCTTTAAGACCAATTTTTATTCAGGTACAAGCTCTCCCTCCTCTGTGAGGGCAGATATGCGCATCCCCCGAATAGCTAGCACTCCAAAACAGTCCAGTGGAGCCTGAGCGGCAGGTGTTGCCTTCTGACAAACTTCCGGTGATGTCAGGGGGTGTGGCATATGCAAATGAGTTATGCTAATGAGCTCCTGCACCTCTTTGTCTATGAAATGACCCCTGACCACGATGATGATTTAATGGATGAATCCTGATAGCTATATCTATTGTGTGTAAGACGGGGCCAGCCAGGAAGTGTTCCAGGAGGGGGCTTCATGCTTGGGGGAGGGGCTTTGGATTTTGGGAGTCACCACGAATGACTTTCCTCAAGGAGATCTGAAGAGGAGGCAGCCAAATGGGAGGGCAGTGAGCGGAGAGGGTTTCCCTTGCCCGCTGCCTGGCAAGCCAAGCTCAGGGAGAGAAAGCCAAAGAAGGCTGCTGTGCCACTGCAAAATTTATTTCTTTATTAAATCAAATGTATACCCCGCCCTCTCAGTCTAGGCCGGCCCAGGGCGGCTTACGTAAAAAAGCATGCACCTCCTCACCACACAAGGGGTGCTCACTCGCCGCCTTCCTGCCTTCCCTCTCTCTCCTCCTTTGGTGGCTGCCTAGCTCCCCCCCCTTCCCTTCACAGCAGCCTGAGCTTCAGCCATCTGTGCTCCACGAGGTCTGCCTCCTCAGAGTTACTGATCTCTGCAGCCCAGTCATCAATTGCCATTCCGGGAGAGTCTTGGCCAGCCAATAGCTGCAGAGTGGAGGAAGGAATCAAGCAAGGAAGGAGTCGAATTATGCCAGCAGCCGGCTTCAGCGCATCAAAGTAATACTTTTCTAGTAGCTGGGGGGGGGGGGGGGTTGGGGGCCCCCC